AGAACTGTGCGGAGAAATTTGACTTTCTTGGGCTATTCCAGCAGAAGACCGACTCGAGTGCCTTTACTGACAGAACGACATCGCTTGCAGCGACTCTCGTGGGCACGTGAGCATATCGGTTGGTCCCTAGATGAATGGAAAACCGTGGCCTGGTCCGATGAGTCACGATTTCAGTTGGTAAGAGCTGATGGTAGGGTTCGAGTGTGGCGCAGACCCCACGAAGCCATGGACCCAAACTGTCAGCAAGGCACTGTTCAAGCTGGTGGTGTCTCCGTAATGGTGTGGGCTGTTTTTCATGGCATGGACTTGGTCCTCTGGTGCGACTGGACCGAACATTGACTGGAAATGCTTATGTTCAGCTACTTGGAGATCACTTGCAGCCATTCATGAACTTCATGTACCCAAACAACGATGGGATTTTTATGGATGACAATGCGCCATGTCACCGGGTCACAACTGTTCGCGATTGGTTTGAAGAACATTCTGGACAATTCCAACGAATGATCTGGCCACCTAGATCACCCGACATGAATCCCATCGAGCATTTATGGGACATCATCGAGAGGTCTGTTCGTGCCCAAAATCCTGCACCATCAACGCTTTCACAATTATGGACGTCTATCGAGACAGCATGGCTCAATATTCCTGCAGAAGACTTCCAACGACTTGTTGAGTCCATGCCGCGTCGAGTTGCTGCACTTCGCCGGGCGAAAGGAGGGCCGACACGATATTAAGAGGTATCCCATGACTTTTGTCACTTCAGTGTATATCAATGCTTATATATCTTTCATAAAATATGAATATATCAATGCATATATATCATTTATAAAATATCAATATACCAATGCCAATGCGTATGTATCATTTATAAAATATCGATATACCAATGCATATGTATCATTTATATAATATCGACATACCAATGCATACGTATCACTTGTATATCAATGCATATGTATCACTTATAAAATATCAATATACCAGTGCTTATGTATCATTTATATAATTTCAATATACCAATACATATGTATCATTTATAAAATATCAATATATAAATGAACATGTATCATCTACATAATATCAATGCTATGAACATCAATGCTAAAAACCCATTATAATTGGAATAATTATTTTGAAAAAGGAAATGTTAGAGGCTTCAAAATTTATGCAATTCAACAAATGCTGCGGTTATCACATTTAAGGAACAGAAAAGAAAACATGTTTTTTCATTTGTATATTCTACTGATTCCTAAGAAAAAAATTTTTAATTTAAATAAATCATTAATTCGAAGCCAATTTCTATATGAGACATCATTTTCCTTGCAATAGTTGCCGCTGTCGATTAGCGTCGCAGACTGCATTGAAGAAGCGCTTCGGCCATAAATAAGTGGGCGCAGAAGAAGAAGATCGCAGGTGTCAGCGATAATCCGGATTAATGAAGCCCTAAATTACTTGTCACCCCCTCCCGGCAGCTGGTGTCGGGAATCACGTGATCCCCTCCCCGATCATCGCCTGTCGCTACCTGCACGTAGGAGATGCTCTCGAGAGATAGACGGCAGACTTTTATTTTCTGGTGTTACGAAAACATACGAGTGAGATTTTAGTAGAATCAGAATGAGTAGTTTCGAGTTGTAAAAAAAAAGCTCATATTTTTGTAATTGACAAAAAAAAAAAAAAAAAAAATTCCTCAGTGTTTTGGAAGCAAATACTTACATATAATTTTTGAAGTCATTAATATTAAAGTTCTAGCAATATATTTAAAAAGAAATAAGTAAAACTGTACTAGATTTTTTTTTTCCATGTATGAATGGCCGAGTGGCTAGCGCTCTGGTGCTCGGTACCACAGGTTTCGGGTTCGAGTCCCAGCGGTGCCATGGATGTTTGTAGTGATTCGGAATTCACTTTAAACAGTAGGTCCCGGTCCTAATAGGATCGTAGAGCGTTGCGGGGGGCATTGTTACTCAGCGTCCATTGCTTATCTTCAAGTTACACGCGCCCCCTGGGCAATGTAAAGTGAGTAATGTCTGTGCAGCGTTTACCTTAAGGCATCCAAGACCAAGCTGTCTAAGTGTTTGCCAGCTGCATTATGGCATGCATGTAAAAAAGATTTGTTATATACAATGTATTTAAAAAGAAACTTCGACGTATATCAATGCATATGTACCATTTATAAAATATCAATGTATCTATATGTACCACTTATAAAATATCAATATCAAAAAATCAATAAATAACAGCTTGTTATCACAAAATATATATGTATCCATGAATATATATCATTTTAAAATATCAACATATCATAAAATATCAATGTATCTATGCATATGTGTCATTGTATGTCAATGACCTGTCAATTGATATACAATCAACGGCAGTCACTTGATATACATTTCGCCTGATGTCCGAATGACTAGCGCTCTGTCGCTCGGCTTCGACGCTCAGCTCTGTCGCTCGTGTTCGACAGTTCGTGGTACAGACTTCGTGTTCGAGCCCCGACGATGCCATGGTTGTTTATAGTAGTTTGGAATCCCCTTTAAACCCTCAAGTTCAGGTCTAATAGGATTGTAGAGCGTATGGTTGACAACCTTACCTAGTAAAAAAAGAAAACATCTCCTATTTTGGAATCTGCCAGCAGGCAGGCGGCCATGGTTCAACATGGACTGCAGTGCCAGGAAGCTAATTAGTATAGCCGTTTTGTATTATCTGGAAACAGCAACTGCAGAGCATCAGCAACGCCCTCTTAATATTGACTGAACTTCCTCAGTATTAGCCGAAAATTCTCCTGTGTGTTTAAATGTCCTGTGTGTTTAAAATGTCCACCTTCCTTTTTATTTTGCGATTGACTTTTAATGTTTATTCTTAGGGGACTAAAAATACAATGAATAATTACATAACTTGGGAACTCCCTTATAATTAATTCATTTCCCTATTTTAAACTGGCGCAATAGGTGTTCGGTTAATTAAAAAAAAAGTTATCTTGTGTCATTTTTTTTCAGCTTAAAAGCTCATTTTTTTTCATCTTGATTGTGGATAATCACCCTCAGGAATGTTGTTAAATTCCTCAAGTAGGAAAGTAATAAAAAATGGACTCTGTGATAAAAAATTATTTTGCTTGTACAAATGAAATTACTAATCCGAGTAAAACCAAATTGCATTTTTTCTATCTATTTAAACAATAAATAACTGCTTGTTTTATATTTCTTGAATAACAAATTTTGTTATTACTTATTTTCTAAAGTATAAATTGTATTTACATTTAAAAAATAGTGTTCTATAGTGTTTATTAAGAGTTTTCATATATCTTTTAAAATTGATGATAATTCATTTTTGCACAATGTAAACTAATATTAATCTGTAAAATAGAACTTATTTGTAATAGAGAACATAGCATTAATATTTTTAAAAAAAATTTCTCTCAAAATTCCTTTACAGTTCTCAATAAAGTCATTTTTGTTTTGTCTAAGTTATGGAATATTAGATTCTAGTTTTGATCTTGTGTGTATTCATATTTAAAAGTTTATCTTTTCAAATTAGATATTTATTTCTTGCTGTTTTGTGATCGAAAATTAATCTATATTTTTTGTATTTTAAGGTGAAAAATAGTGATATTTTAACAGCAGAATTGAAATTGTATAGAAATTTAAATATGTTCGAAAAATAGTTAAAAATTAAAGAAAAAATATTCTAAGTACTGTTATTTTTTATATTATTTTTCTATTAGTCATTAGTAATATTTAGAATGGGGCTTGTTGGCCGAGTGGCTAGTGCACTGGCGCTCTGTGCCACAGGGTTTGAGTCCCGGCGGTGCCATGGATGCTTATAGTGGCTCGGAATCCACCTTAAACCGTATAACGGCGTAGGGCTGACAGTACAACCCTGCAAAAAAAAACATCTTCTGTCTCGAAATCTGCTAGTAGGCAGACGGCTTTGACCTAACATGGGACTTTTGCTCCAATAAAGAAGAAAAATATTTAGAATAAAATTAACTTAAATATTTATACAGTAATATTTAAAATAAGAATCTAAATCAACTTTAGATTGAATTATTTTTCAAAAAGAATTCATATTAAGTTATTATGCATAAAAGAAAAAAAAATTTTATTTGAATTTTATGCATAAGAAAATTTTATGTTGAATTATTTTGAAATTCCATTGTATTAAAAAAACTTCATGATTTATTATGTTAAGTATCTTTTATTGTATTAATTTATCCGTCCATAGTATTAAGTAACTTCATAATTTAAACCGTAATCCAATTAACTTTTTTCTCTTTAATATTCTAAACATAAACTTGTTCAACATATAGTAATATTCACATTTACAATGCCTTATCTGGGCAAAGGAAAAAAAAAATGCCATCTCATGCTCTTAGCACAAAAGTTGAGCATGGCTCAAATATTATCGATATCAATGCTCTACAGTCATAGTAGGCCGGGACCTACTTTTAAAGTGGATTATGAGCCACTACAGACATCCAATGCCCCCCGCCGGGATTAAAACCCGAAACTTGGTGCACCGAGATATAGACTGCTAGTCACTCTGCCATCAGACCCCCAGGAGAAAACTACCAGAGGTTAGTAATCTGAGATTAAAGACTGAGTTCGATCTATTGTATAGAATGAGTTGATGATACCCGATTGAGAATGTGAAGAAGATTTTCGTTCTCCAAGTATACAGAAGGCCCGTCTAGTAGTAGGCCATTGTATTAGTGTTGTTTGTTGTTGTTTCTTATCCCACTTGACTGGCCAAGCCCACGAGCCCATATGGACTCATGATTGAAGGGGAAGGAAGCAGCTTCTGTTGTGATGGAGCACCCCGTAGGTAGAAGCCTGACTTTTGCTCCGTGACGCTCTTACAGTCATAGAAGACCGGGACCTACGGCTTAAAGTGGATTCCGAACCACTACAAACATCCATGGCACCGCCGGGATTCGAACCCGAAACCTGTGACACCGAGCGCCAGAGCGCTAGACACTCGGCCATTCAGGTCCCAAATTTGCCAACGGCACGCAGTGTTCCCAGGTGGTCACCCACCCAAGTACTGACCGCGCCCAATGATGCTTGACTTCGGTGATCTAACGAGAACCGGTATATTCAGCATGGTATTGTATTAGTAATTGTATTATAGTGCCCAGTAGTAACTCGGGCTCCAGTAAGCAAAAAAGATCAGATTCGAATATGTTGGTGGCCTCCATCGCAATTACTGCTTTCAGAAATTAGGAGATGCGATGACGATTACTATAAAGAATCTAACATCGTGTCGTTAATGTTTTCAGAGATTTCGGTATTTTTCTCTTATTCCTAGTCATCTAGGCCTATCCTACCCCTCGTAGAAGATTGCAAATCTGGTACTGAGACATCTCGTGTGAAGTATAAAATGCCATCAAGTTTTTAATTCAAAATTCTCCAACTGAAAATTCAAGTCATTAATTACCAAAATCAGAGGGTCCGTTTATTAGGATTGCCAAGAATTAAACCTTAAACTACTTAATTTTCTCGCCTTAATCATTATGCTTATGATGATAGCCTTGATGCGTCATTTATTTCAGCCCCTTCTCACGGTTATTTGGCTCTTAACTGTCCGCCTTTGATTATCATATTTACTTCATTAAGTCTATTTGTTGTCGCCCTCCTTCAAAGTAACGGAAAAATAACTTTTAAATGCAGTAAAATTCTTAACCTTTTTTTCTTTTTTTACCTACTTATAAATAAAAATATTTATGAAAAGCTGTTGGTTGTTTACTTTAAAATTATAATGGTAATTAATGTTTAGTTCATTATAAAAGGTAAAGAAATTCCTCCTTAATATAAAACTATGTCAGCCAATTTATCAGGAAGTTCTTAAGACAAATAGTTAAATATTTTCTTCTTTATGGAACTTTATAGAGAGGGTGGAATATATGGAATACGGATCTTTAGATACTTTATATAGAACTTTAATTAGATACTTTATATTTTTACCTTATGTGTAACTTCAGGCACTTTAAAATACGAAAAATGAGATTTTGCTTATTCTTTAACGTAGACTGAATACGTAAATTTCTGATATTATTTTTGAATAGCAATAAAAAGTAAAAGTTAATTTAAATTGTGAAATTATTTAGTCAAATATGTAAAATAACTAAATAGCTAAATAACTATGTTGATATATTTTGTAAGTTATATGAAATCTTAAAATCAAAAAAGGATCAATATTATTTTGGGTAAATATAAAATAAAACAGACAGACGGCCCTGGCCCACCATAGGGCTGTTTCGCCAATGATGATGATGATAAAATACAATATTTTTTTTTATTCCAATGCAGTTGGCAAAAACTTAGACAGCTTGGTCTCGGATGCCTTAAGGCAAGCGCTGCACAGACGTTACTCACTTTGCATTACCCAGGGGGCCCGTGTAACTTGAAGATACGGACGCGGAGTAACGATTCTCTTAGGACATTCTCTACGATTCTATTAGGACAGGGACCTACGTTTTAAAGTGGATTCCGAACCACTACAAACAGCCATGGCACCGCCGGGACTCGAACCCGAAACCTGTGGTACCGAATAAAATACAATATAAAGTGCAGCATTAAACTGTATATTTCTAGTAAGGAAAAATACTGGAAAAGAAAAGGACTTCATATTAGACTTATTGAGTAAGAATCTGATGAAATTTGTATTGAAATGGTTCCGAAATATCAGAAAAATAAAAAGTTTTTTATAAAAAAAATTTCTTAGATTTAAGGAGAAAGCCCCCATAGAAAGTTGTTATGAAATGGTTTAGTACTACCATAAAATGAAAAACGTTTTATAAAAAAAAAATTTCTTATTAGATTTAAGCTGAAAGAATCTGATGAACTTTATATGAAATGGTTTAGAAATATCATAAAAAGAAAAAGTTTTTATAAATAAAAAATTCTTATTAAACTTAAGGAGAAAGCATTCAATGAAGTTTGCATGAAAGGGCTTAGAAATTTCAGAAAATAAAAACCTTTGTATAAAAACAATTTCTTATTAGACTTAAGGAAAAAACATCGGATGAAAGTTGTTATGAATGGTTTAGAATTATTAGAAAATAAAAAACTTTTTATAAAAAAAAGAAAATTTCTTCTTAGACTTAAGGAGAAAGTATCCGATAAAAGTTGTTATGTAATGGTTTAGAAATATCAGAAAATGAAAAATGTTTCAAATAAAAAAAAATTCTTATTAGAATTTAAGAGAAAGCGTCCGATGAAGTTTGTATTAAATTTAGAAATACCATAAAATGAAAAAACTTTTTATAAAAAAGAATTTCTTACTAGACTTAAGGAAAAACGTCCGATGAAATTTGTTTGGAATGGATTAGAAATATGAGAAAAGGGAAAAATTTTTATTAAAAAAAAAATTCTTATTATGGGATAGCATCCGAGGAAGTTTGTATGAAATGGTTTAGAATTATCAGAAAATTGAAACTTTTTTATATAAAAAAATTTCTTATTAGACTTAAGGAGAAAGCAACAGATTAAGTTTGTATGAAATGGTTCAGAAAAATCAGAAAATGAAAACCTTTTTATTGCTGTACATCAGTGGATCTGGTGTTCCACTTCAATATGCCACGAACAGCCCATCGACTAGTGGCAAAATAAAATTGTTGTCTTTCGAGAGGACTTTTAGGGGTAACTTCCCCAAATTTCCGTGTCGTACTGGAAAAAACTCATAACAATACGTTTTTTATAACAATATTAATGTTTAATATTATGGAATATTAAATTCAAGATTGAACATTTTTCATTTGAGATTTTTTGGTATCCAAATTTTCAAACTTAATTAACAATATTTAAAAAAACATAACGCAGTAAAACATTTTGTTATATTTACTGAATCCGAGGAATTCAGGTTATAACAGCAGATAATAATTTGTTTTTAATATGCATAAAATTATTTAAATATACCCGATTAATAGATTCTAATTAAAATCGATATTTTTTTAAAGCGTTATATTAAAGGCATCTTCTTATAAAATATGTCCTATTTTAATTTCTACCACATTGACCTTAAGGTAAAACGCAAATTATGCATCGTCAGAGATCTTCAACTATTGCAATCTCAGGAGACCAATCATAAATTGAAGGAAAGAAGTTTTCTTTTTTTAATTTCTTTTTTTAGCATTATTTTGAAGGAAATAATGCTAAAAAAAGAAATAAAAAGTCACCAGAAACAATTTTTTTTAAATGTAAAACATTTCATAATATGAATAAAATCGTTTAAATATACCCTATTAATAGTCGCTAATTAAAATGGATATTCTTTTTTGAAAGCATTATGTTACAAGCATCTTCTCAAAAAATATGTTTTTTAATTTCTACCACAATGACCTTCACGTAAAAGGCAAATTATGCATCGTCACTGATCTTCAACTATTGCAATCTCAGAAGACCAATCATAAATTGAGGGAAAGATGAAAATAATGCAAAGAAAAATATAATAGACTATTCGTCATAAATTGACTTTTCCAAATGTAAAACATTTCATAATATGCATAAAATCATTTAAATATATACTATTAATAGACGTTAACTAAAACCGATACATTTTTGAAAGCATTATATTAAAACATCTCAAAAAAATTTCCTATTTTAATTTCTGCCACATTGACCTTCGGGTAAAACGAAAATTATGCATCGTCAGAGATCTTCAATTATTGCAATCTCAGAAGACCGATCATAAATTGAGGGAAAAATGAAAATAATGCCATGAAAAGAAATAAAAAGTCTTCGGAAACAGTCTTTTCCGAATGTAAAACATTTCATAATATGATTAAAATCATTTAAATATATACTATTAATAGATGCTAATTAAAATCGATAGAATAATTAAATAAAAGCTAATCAAACGATTTTTTGAAAGCTGTATATTAATGGCATCATCTCAAGAAATATGTCCTATTTTATCTTCTACCACACTGACCTTCAGGTAAAACGCAAATTATGTATCGTCAGAGACTTTCAACTATTGCAATCTCAGAAGACCAATCATAAATTGAGGGAAAGATGAAATTAATGCCAAGAAAAGAAATAAAAAGTCACCGGAAGCAATCTTTTCCGAATGTAAAACATTTCATAATATGAATAAAATCATTTAAATATATACTATTAATAGATGCTAATTAAAATCGATAAAATAATTAAATAAAAGCTAATTAAACAATTTTTTGAAAGCTGTATATTAATGGCATCATCTCAAGAAATATGTCTTATTTTATCTTCTACCACATTGACCTTCAGGTAAAACGCAAATTATGTATCGTCAGAGACTTTCAACTATTGCAATCTCAGAAGACCAATCATAAATTTAGAGAAAGATGAAAACTAATTCCAAGACAAGAAGTAAAAATCGCCGGAAACAGTCTTTTCCGAATGTAAAACATGTCATTAATGCCCCTCTTCAATTCCAAATGTATTCCGAGAGGACCTTGCTAACGAGTCTTCTCACCAGGTGCTTCCAGGGGCAGATGTGTCTGGGTTTACGATTCGCCTCCCAGGACTCGGGGTCCGAGAGATTAGATGAAAAACGAATCCTCTTTATCTCCTCATCTCCAAATTGATTCATACACAACTTCGAATTAGTCCATTGATAACCACTAACAATCATCCGCTTAAACAGATTAGGGCATATTTATGTCCGGAGTTGTTTTGAGGCCGGGTGGTTTCTGTGGTTATCTGCATGTGAAATTTTTATTTGTATGTTTCTGCTGTTGATTTTGCAAAAGATAAAAAGTGTATGTTTTGTTTGGAGATCGTTTCGTGTTTCAAGCTGATTATACCTAGTGATTTCTGCTTTAATTCAGTAATATTCAAAATTTGCTATTATTTTTGTTCATTGTTACAATAATTTTTTTGTTGCATAATAATATAGGATAGATATTTTTGTTGGGATATATAGTTTTATTATATAGGACAAGTCAATTTTTATACTGATGTTTTAAAGAAGGGTGTTTTTTTTTTTTTTTTTTTCATTTTAGCATTTTAGTAATTTTTGTTAAGGAGAAGGTCATCTGGGACAGATTCATACAGCTTGTTTGTTGTATTGTTCATTTATTCATTTATTTTTACCATTTTAGTCTTGCTATTCAATACTTTTCGCTCA